CTTTCACAGAGAAAGGGGAAGTTAAGGCATTTTTTAAAAATACATTACATAAAGTAAACAAAAAGATCAGATCTTTGTGCTAAAAACTCATACCTTACAAGAAATATAAAAGCTGTCCCTCCAGCTTAATTAAAAGAGAATCAAACAGTTATTTCAGCCACAGCAAACAGAAGTGGTTATACAGGTTGATAAAAGGGAGATTATAAGTATTTTTTATAAGTATAAAATTCTTGTTCGTTGTGACTTAAAAATACAATAACTATATAATGCAATAATTGTAAAAATCCAAGCATGGGAAAACATTGTATGAAGATGTAATTTACAAGAAAAATTTAAAAAATGAGAAATGGGAATAGAGTCATACGAAAGCAAAAAATTTATATACACTTGATATCAGATGGGATAAGGGTGGTACTCACATGATCATCTAAATTGATGCTAAAAGCATTCTACACTATCCAGCACCCTTCTACAGTAAATTGAGACTAGAAAGCCACCTCCTTAACCTTCCAATACCACCTATGAAAAGCTGCTAGCAAGCATCATCCCTGATGGTGGAACTTCCACTGTTAATGTCAGCAAGGTGTGGGGCACACATGCCCACTCCTTCCATTAAGCGTTCACTGGAGGCCCCAATACAGACAATTGGCCAAGAGATCAAAAACACACATATTGGAATGGAATATGTAAAAAAAAGTACATTCTTGTGGATTATATGATTTTACATAGACAAAAATCAAAGAAGACACAGAAAAAAAGTTAATGCATAGTTGTGTACATTTGCAAAAAGTGAGACCAATGCCTTAAAACAGTGTATTTCTATATACTGAAAATGAACAATATGAGAAGAGAATTAGCAATTCCAGGTATAACAGTGTAAGAGACCGAAAATTCTCAAAAATACACTTAGCTAAAATTGTTGAAAACTTGGCCCAGAGAGATGGTTCAGAAGACCCCAATAATATTCCTGGTACCCATGACAGATGGCTCACAACCACCTGTAGCTTCAGTTTCAGGGAATACAATACCTTCTGACATCCATGGGCACCTGCCCTCATGTATACCTGCCCACAAACATATATATATATATATACTGTCATAGTCAGAATTCTATTATTGTGCAAAGATACCATGACCACAATAACTCTTATAAAAGAAAGCATTTAACTGGTGCTTGCTTGCATTTTCAGGGGTTTAGTCAATTGTCACCATGTTGGGGAGCATGACAGCATGTAGGCAGACATTATGCTGGAGAAGGAGCTGAAATTTCTATATGTGTATCTGTAAGCAACAGGATAAGAAAGACTCTGGTCTTGACATAGGCCTTTAAAATCCACCTCCAGTTACACCCTTCCTCCAACAAGGACACACCTCCTAATCCTTTCAAATAGTGCCATTCCCTGGTTACCAAACATTCAAATTTATGAGCCTTTTGGGGCCTGTGGTAATCTGAAAGAAAATAGCTCCCAAAGGCAATAGCACTATTAGGAAGGCCACTGTGGGGTGGACTCTAAGGACTCTCGTTTTCTCAAGCTTTTCTCAGTGTGGCAAGCTGCCTTCTGGTCAAAGGCAGAACTCTCAGCCCCAGCACCACATCTGCCTACACACTGCCGTGCTCCCCATCACAATGATAATGAACTGTGTACCTGGAAGCCATCACCTCAACTAAATATTTTCTCTGTAAGAGTTGCTGTGCTTATGGTGTCTCTTCTCAGTGATAGAAAACCCTCACTGAGACAAGATCATTTTTATCCAAACCACATATGTAAACATACACATGCAAACACATAATTAAAATATACACTTTTTAAAGAAGTATAAAACATATTTCACACACTGAAAATTATATTTTGCTCAAGAATATTTAACAGGTAAATAAATGCAATGTTTTTTCAAGAGGGTACAATGAAGGATTTGTCATTATTAAGACAGAAACTCCCTTAGATTGATACATAGATTTGATGTCCTCTCTATTAGAAGTTCAAATGCCTTCTTTTCAAAACTCAATTGAGCATGTTGGCTAAAGTTCACATGGAATGTTGAAAGACTCTGGATATTAAAAACAATTCTTGAAAAAATAAAATGAGGTTTTAAAACCGACTGAAAAATTTAGAGTAATTACGACTGTATTCCTTCCTGGGACAAAGTTAACATACAAACAAATTGCTGAAATTAGAAGTACAGAAGTGAACTCATGCGTACATGGATAACTGATTTTGATAAAGGGGCCAACATTGTGCAAAAGGGAAAAAACATTATTTTAATGAGTAATATAAGAGTTGGATATCGACACACAAAAGAAAAAAAATTTAACACTCCTTTTATGCTAAACAAAATTTGAATTCACAGGAATCTACAGTGATTTGAAAAAAAATGGCACCCATAGTCTCACATATTTGAATGCTTGGTCCCCTCCCTATTGGTGGAAGTATTTGGGAAGGATTAAGAAGTATGACTTTGTTGGAAGTGGCATGTCACTGGGGGAGGGCTTTGAGGTTTCAGAAGCCCATGGTTCCCTCTTTCTCCCCCACCTCTCCTTTTTGCAGCTAAGAAGTAAACTCTCAGCAGCTACTGCTCCAGCACCAATCCTGCCTCCCTGCCACCATGCTTCCCACCAGAGTAGTCATGGACTCACCTCTGCATTGTAAGCCTCCAACAAACTCTTCCACAAGTTGCCTTGATAGTGGCGTTCTCTTTATTGATTTTATTGAGCTCTATATTTTTCTCTGTTCCCCTGTCTTCCCCTCCCTTCCACTTCAACCCTCTCCCATGATCCTGATGCTCCCAATTTACTCAGGAGATCTTGTATTTTTCTACTTCCCGTGTAGATTAGATCCATTGTATGTCTCTCGTAGGGTCCTCATTGTTGTCTAGTTTTTCTGGGATTATGAATTGTAAGCTAGTTTTCTTTGCTTTATGTCTAAAAGCCACTTATAAATGAGTACTTATAATATTTTCTTTCTGTATCTGGGTTACCTCACTCAATATGATGTTTTCTAGATTCATCCATTGCCTGAAAATTTCAAGATGTCATTATTTTTTTCTGCTGTGTAGTACTCCATTGTGCAAATGCACCATATTTCCCTTACTGATTCTTTGGTTGAGAGGCATTTAGGTTGTTTTCAGGTTCTGGCTATGGCAAACAACGCTGCTATGAACATAGTTGAGCACATGTCCTCGTGGTACAATTGAGCGTTCTTTGGATATATACCCAAAAGTTAGTTGTTGCTGGGTCTTGAGGAAGGTTATTTCCTAATTTTCAGAGAAATCACCATACTGATATCCAAAGGGACTGTACCAGTTTGCACTCCCACCAGCAATGCAGGAATGTTCCCTTTACCCAACATCCTCTCTAGCATAAATTGTCATCAGTGTTTTTGATCTTGGCCATTCTGACTGGTGTAAATGAAATCTCAGAGTTGTTTTGATTTGCGTTTCTCTGATGGCTAAGGATGTTGAGCAATTCCTTAAGTGTCTTTCACTCATTTTAGATTTCTCTATTGCGAGTTCTCTGTTTAGGTCTGCACTCCATTTTTTTAAATTGGATTATTTGTTCTTTTGATGACCACTTTCTTAAATTCTTTGTATATTTTTGAGATCAGTCCTCTGTCTGATGTGGGATGGGTGAAGATCTTTTCCCATTCTGTAGGCTGTCCTTTTATCTTGTTGACCGTGTCCTTTGCTTTATAGAAGCTTTTTAATTTCAGGAGGTCCCATTTGTTAACTGTTTCTCTCAGTAGCTGTGCTGTTGGGATTATTTAGGAAGTATCTCCTGTGCCAATGCATTCAAGTGTACTTCCCACTTTCTCTTCTATGAGGTTTAGTGTGGCTGATTTTATGTTGAGGTTTTTGGTTCATTTAGACTTGAGTTTTGTGCATGGTGATAGATATGGATCAATTTTCATTCTTCTGCATATTGATATTCAGCTATGTCAGCACCATTTGTTAAAAATGCTTTCCATTTTCCATTTTATATTTTTTATTTCTTTCTCAAAAATCAGGTGCTTGTAGATGTGTGAATTGATATCCTCATCTTTGATTAAATTTCGTTGGTTCTCCTGTCTGTTTTTATGACAATACCAGGCTGTTTTCAGTACTGTAGCTCTGTAGTAGAGGTTAAAGTCAGGGGTTATGATGTCTCCGGATGTTCCTTTATTGTACAGGATTGTTTTGGCTATCCTGGGTTTTTTGCTTTTCCATATGAAGTTGAGTACTATTCTTTCAAGGTCTGTGAAAAATTGTGCTGGGATTTTGATGGCCATTGCACTGAATCTGTAGATTGCTTTTGGTAAGATTATCATTTTTACTATGTTAATTCTACATATCCAAGAGCATGGGAGATCTTTCCACTTTCTGGAGTCTTCTTCAATTTCTTTCTGCAAAGATTTAAAGTTATTGTCATTCAGGTCTTCCACTTGTTTGGGTAGAATTATTCCAAGATATTTTATGTTATTTATGGTTATTGTGAAGGGTGAATGTCTCTCTGATTTCTTTCTCAGCCCATCTATCATCTGTGTAATATCATCTGAGGGCTACTGATTTTTTTTGAGATAATCTTGTCTCATGCCGCATTACTGAAAGTGTTTATGAGTTGTAGAAGTTTCTTGGTAGAATTTTGGGGATCGCTTATGTAAACTATCATATTATCAGTAAACAGCAAGAGTTTAACTTCTCCTTATTGATTTGTATCCCTTTGATCTCCTTTTGTCTTATTGCTCTGGCTAGGACCTCAAGAACTATATTGAATAGCTATAGAGAGAGTGGATAATCTTTTCTTGTTCCTGATTTCAGTGGGATCACTGTGAGTTTCTCTCCATTTAGTTTGATGTTGACTGTTGGCTTGCTGTAGGTATGTTCCTTGTACTCCTGCTCTCTCCAAGACCTTTATCATAAAGGGATGTGGTATTTTGTCGAAGGCTTTTTCAGCATCTAATGAGATGATCATGTGGTTTTTATTTTTCAGTTTGTTTATAGGGTGGATTGCATTGACAGATTTTAGTAAAAATATGGAAGGCTTCACAAATGTGCATGTTGTTCTTGCGCAGGGATCATGCTAATCTTCTCTGAATCATTCCAATTTTAGTATATGTACTGCTGAAGTGAGCATGGTGATGGTGTTTTATCACATTTGAAAATTAATGAAAACAGAAGTTAGTATCAGGAATGAGGTATTTCCCTGACAGGCCTAACAACACTGTTTTTTTTTGGGGGGGGCATGAAAGATTTTGGGACTTCGGACTAGAAAAGAAGTTGAATACTGTCAATGGAGATTAGTGGACCATTCTAGTAGGAGCTTGAAAGTCAAGAGTACCAAGAGGAAGTGGATTATGTAGGTCCAATCCCAGAGGTTTCACAGGTAAACTATGTTACCAATTGGGCTGGAAACAATTCTTGTGATAGGTAGGCAAAGAATGTGGCTTTCTTTTGCCTTTGTCCTGGGAATTTGCCCCAGGTTAAATGGAAGAGTCTGGGACTAATTTTATTTGGCAGAGATTTCAAGGCAGCTCTGCATTGGGTGTCTTAGCTGTCACTCGTATGCAGGTCTACAATGAAAAAGAGCAAATGGGGCAGAAAGAAACACAAAATGTAAGCTTGAGTGCCTGCCTTGATCTCCTGTCTGGGCTTCCTTGATGATAGCAAGCAAGATGAAACAAATCCTTTCTTCACCAAGTTGCTTTTGGTCCTGGTATTAATCACAGCAACAGAAAACCAAACCCAGGTGAACAGTCATCTTTTAATATGACTTCCAGAAGACAGGGTCTGTGAGATGGCTTAGTGGGTAAAGGTTCCTGTTACACAGCCTAACAGCCTGAGTTCAAGTCCCAGGATCCACATGGCAGAAGGAGAGAGCCAACTCCCAAAAGTTGTCCTCTTACCTCTACATGGCTGTGAAGGGTGCCTGCCACCATACATGAACACACTCACTCAGAATTTCATTCCAAATTTTAGAAACTGACACATTTTAAGAAGGGTGCTGGAGCTTTGGTTGTTGAGTGAATGCAAAGTGGTTTGTCACTGAGGAAAACTGCATTATGATGGGGTGAATAATGGGGAGTAAGAAGTTGTCCTGGACTATTGAGGAGTAAGAAGTTGTTCCTGGACAATTCTACCCATACATGCATATCCAAGAGAACTGAAAGCACGCATTTATAAAAAAATTATACACATGTTATCAGCTACATTTTTATAGGAAACAAACACCGGAACTAATCCAAAGGTCCATCAACTAACAGATGTTAAATGAGTGTGGTATTTTCATATCATGGAATGCTATTTAATCACTAGAAAGGATAAAAGCCTGCCAGGCGGTGGTGGCACATGCATTTATTCCCAGCATTAGGAAGGCAGAGGCTGATGGAGCTCAGTGAGTTCAAAGCCAGCCTGATCTACAAAGTAAGTTCCAGGACAACCAGGGCTGTTAAACAGAGAAACCCCTGTCTCAAAAAACAAAACAAACAACAACAACAAGGATATAAAGCTGCAATATAGATAAAAACCAAAAACAGTATATAGAATGAAAGTTAAAAGAAATGAGTGTGAAGGTCACATGCCATGTGAGTCTCCTTATCAGGAGACTCCAGAGAGTGTCTCAGCCGCTAGCAAGAGTCAGGAGAAGATGGTAGGGAGCCGTGGGTCATGGGCACAAGGCTCCACTTTGGGTCATGAAAATGTTCCAGAGCTTGAGTGGTGATGATTGTGCAATCTTGTGAACATACTAAAACCTCCTCAATTGTAAATAGCAAATTGTACTATTTGTGTTACATCAATAAAACACAATTCTATAACCTCATTCGTAAATTGACTTTATGAATGAATTGATTAGTAAATCAGTGCACACAAACATAAGATTATAAAACTTTTCTTTAAAAAAGTAGACTATAATTTTTTTGGAATCTTTGGCAAGGCATGAAAATTTTAAACTTGACACTGAAACTTAAGTTATAAATTAAAAAAATTAAATAAAGTCTTTGGCCCCGAGAAAGATTCCATTAAGAGAATGAAAAGACAATTTGCATACTTGGAGAAAATTTTACAAACCCTATCCCTGGAAAATGATAATAAATCAACTACAGAAAAAACTCACAACATGCAAACACACAAAAAAAGTTTCTTGGACTTAAGCAAAGGCCTGAAGAAGTCCTTCACCAGCAGACAGATACCAGCAGAGAGAGAAGCGCCAAAAACGCCATCCAGCATCGTTCACCACCAGGGAGACCATGGCTATCAATCCATCAGATGAGCAAGCACAGATGAAGGTACCAAATGGGGGTGAGGATGCAGAGAGGCGAGATGACATAGACGGTGGATGGGATGTGGCAGGCTCAACTCTGAAACGCAGCTTGACAGTTTCTATGGAGACTGTGCCATTGTCACACGCTCTCTGGATCACCAGCCAGTGCCGTGCTCAGGATTGGCGCCCATCTTCACACGGACCTGTGCGTGAACATCGACAGCAGATTCGCTCGCGGTGTCTGAGAGCTGGCGAGCATGAGTGAAAGCGGCCACGGTCTGCTGTGCTCGTGCTGTGGGCTCCTCGGCCAGGAAGGTGGACAGTGGACTTCACAGCCTGCGGGAGTTTCTGGGGCATTGTGGTCAGACAAAAGGGCCAGTCTCAAAAAGATACAAACATACTGTAATTCTCAACACGGAGCACAGCATATAATTATTTTAAAATAAAGGACTTGGGAATGGGGGCAGGAGGACAAAGTTGGACTGGATTGAAGGGGGTTCTCAAAAAAATTCAAAAAGTTAAGAAGCTATTATTAAATGTTTAAAAAAATAACATGGCAGACTCCTGTACATTCACTACAGTAAGGTTGTGTTTTTAATTAATTTACATTTTTGCTTTAGCTCTCTCTCTCCAAAATAGTATCAGTATACCTAAGTTAACATCCTCGTTTCTATTTTGATGGTTGAGCCCAGGTCCTTGGACCAGCCAGGCAAGGGCTCTCCTGTTGAGTTACAACCACAGGAGTAAAAGATTTTCAATTTATTTATATTTTTATACAGATGCATGTCTTGCTGCATTCGGGTCTGTGCACCATGTGTGTCCACAGAGAGCAGGGAAAGACATTGGAACTGGGATCATAGATGGTCTTGAGTGCCATGCGGATGCTGGGCACTGAACCCTGGTCCTCCGGAAGAGCAACGTGTGCACGTGTGCTCCTGACTGCTGATCCATCTCTCCTGTGCCCCACTCCACGTTTTTCAAGTGCTGTCGTGAGACAGTGTCTTGCTGAGTTTTCTAGGCAGGCCTTGAACTTACAAAGTAGCCCAAGCAAGCCTAGAAGCTGCAGTTCTCATGTCTCAGCCTCTCAAGTAGCTGAGACTAGAGGTGTGAGCCACTGCACCTGTCTCCCCGTTTCCTGCGCTCCCCTATTTCTCTATATTTGGGCAGCTCCTCCTCCTACATTTCTCCTCAGTACTGAGTGACGCTCTTAATCTCTCATGCAGATCCAACATTTCTGTCTCCTAGACATTACCATGCCCCCACAGTGCTGCAGTGTGTGATTTGTCACAGGTGGCATCGTTTTGCCACTGCCCCATGTGAGGCTTGCTTTTGCTCCTTTCCCTGTTTGTTAGTGAACAACTGAAGCACCGGGGTCTCTGATCTTTTCTTTACCCTTTTTGTATTACTGTATGACTGAATGTCGGTCTCCTTTCAAAAAGGTCTAACCTTGGCTCATTAAGACTTATAACCGCCTGTCTTGGAATTGGTTCCCATCTTGCTGGTGAGCCAAGCAAGGTACAGAACAGTTCAGCTGCTCCCTGGATGCAGTGTTCACAAATGGGAAGCCTGGGTTTGAACCCGAGTGGTCTGCGCAGAGCCTCGTCCCTCCATGAGAGCACAGCACCCAGCTGCCTATGCGGTACACTCAGGAGACTCATACGCTGTTCTCATCATCTCTGAACCTCCCCATGTCTGTCTCCTTGTGATGCAGATAGGAATCTCTCATTTTAAATATTTCCTTTTCTTTTGGGGGGGGGAGGCACACATGCCACAGTGCGCCTATGGAGGTCAGAGGATAGTTTGCTGAAGTTGGGTCTCTCTTTGCACCACGTGGCTGCCAGAGATTGAACTCAGGAAGTCAGACTTGGTGGCAGGGGCCTTTGTCTACTGAGCCACTTCCCCAGATGCGGAATCTCTTTAAGTCAGCACCAGAAGGGACAGATAGCCACTGGGCTGGAGGACATACTGAACCTAGGACTACTTTATGACATGCAGCCCCTCCGTTGCTGCCCCCCACACAGCCACCAGAGCTGCATGCAGCCGTGAGTCCCTCATTCTTTAAGATCATCCGTCTCCAGAAGGAGTTAATATATTCTAGTGGTGACTCTTTTTTCTAATGTGCATTTCCCTCCTCACTAATGACATCAGGTTCACTGGTTCTTTGGTCATTTATATTTCTTCTTCTAAGAATTTTCTGCGCAAAAGCCATTATTTTTCATACCTGTAGAATATTTCTTTATTTTGGGAACTCTATCGTTTTATGTAATGATTTCATCCCAATGAGCCTTTAAACTGTTTCCACAGTTATAATATACGCCATGTGTTTTCAAGTACCCTGCTTTTATATTTTATAAAATTTTATTGATTTTGCTAAACAATAGCAAATCGGCTATTGTTTAGGAAAAATCATTAAACAGTAGAACTCTGGGACTCACAGAGTGGGTCTAAGTCCCATCTTGTCACAGGACGCTCACACTTCCTCTAGAAGAATTAGATCAATTTCTCCTCAGCACCCTCGCGACACACAGAAGTCTCCATCCGCGAGAAAGATCCGGTGACATCTGCGTGTTAGAAATCACATCCCCAGAGTGGCACAGAGCAACCTATCAGCAGCAGAGAGGAAGGGAGCTTGGTAAAGCTGAGCGTCTGGAGGAGGCTGCAGACGGGCGATACTGTGATGAAGTTAGGAGTGCCAAAGGCCATGGAGAGCAGGCCCTGCTGGGTTCTCCGTCCTGTGAGGAAGATTTCAATTGTGAAGGACCAGGAGCGACCACTGGAAGTTCTTAAGGCATCTTGAGGCCACCTTCCTACCACCGGGGCCTACCGTGTCTCTATCACCCACGTACCACAATAAGAGGCGGAAACTAACGGCTTTG